AAAAAAAAAAATATGGTATTTTTTTTTTTTACGTGAATATATATTCATAACTTACGAAAGGATTTTAGGAATCTTGCGCGTAGGAATAGTCGTAATTACTTGGCCCCACAACAGAGTACCAACTCCGAAGAACAGGCACCACATCCATTGTTCTAATGTGAGAGCTTTCGTGCTGAACGCCATTTTACCGTATTGTATGATAACTACCTAGAAAACAGACACAGGATTTTATTGAGGAGGCAGAGGTAACGGCGGTAATCGTTGTCACCCAAGTGTAAATGTGAGACACTTCTCTGGTATCCGTTTCTGCTTGGCCAGATCTCTTCCCTTTGTTCACCTATCTTTCAATCAATTGAGAGAGAGAGAGAGAGAGAGAGAGAGAGAGACAGACAGACAGAGAGAAAGAGAAAGAATATGAGCTATCTAAATTGTGGCTATCACAATGTTAGTACAATAGTAGAACTAGGGACAAGTGTTGATAAATTTCTTCGACAATGTTTTCTATGTTACACTATGCTACAATTATGCTATGTTAAATAGTCAGAGAAAATGAACCTCTCTAATGTTCTACCAATATTGACCAATTTCTATCCTCTTTCTAGATGTTTTCTGTATGTATCATAACGAACAACACGAACGTTAGTGAACACATAGTCATAAGCTCTAATAATTGAACCCCGTTGATAAGTAAAGCAAGAAGGATGATCTCTACCTGCGACAGACATGTGGCGATCCAGATAGAGTAAAAGATGGGGTTGGTGAATATTCCTTGGAAGACATTACGCTGACCGTGAATTTTCCTAGCGTTAAATTCGTTGAAAAGAGTCATCATGACGAATGTGTTGAAGATGATGGTGAAATGCTGCGTTGGACCACCGCCAGCCTGCGCAACTCCTCGGCCTGTTTCGATGTCAAATACCTTATCACCTATCGATCAAAACGGGTTCATTAGTTAAAACAATGTCTTTCTTTCGACATGTTTCGTCATCTCGAAATCCAAAAAATACTTTTCTTTCTTTTTTCCGTTGTACGTAGTTGTGTAATTCATTAGTCGCTCGGAAGAGATATTAATTGCTTCGACAGGTTCGACAGAATCATGAAAATTGACAATTATTCATTAGTCACGAAGACAAATGGAACATAATCAAGTGAAACAAGAGAGTGAGAGACAAACGAATCTCTAAGACCAATTGATCAACTCCAAGTTTTCTCGGTTTAAATAATGTAAGATTAATTCATAAACTCGATCCTCAAGAATCATTTTTCGATAGTCAATGGCTCAAACGATATATTCAACTTTTCATACGTACAATTTTCTTTTCTTTTGGATTCAAGATGACATACGTAAGGAACACGCGATCCCCTCGGAAGCCAAATTATTATTAATACTCTTTATAACTTTCTATGACAAAGTACAACATTACAAACTGAATAATTAGAATTTTAACATGTTGGAAAATGCGTGACTTATCTTTTTCAATTTCTTTACTCATCGCAGAAAGTCTTGCGACTCAGTTTGCAGTCAGCATTTTAATTTACAAATGACAATCGTCACCATGATGGGGAGAAGGGGCGGCTTCCGAAGGCCTCGGACAACGAACGAGAGGACAAAGAGAAACAGAAGAATATTTACCAACGAAAAGAAGCATAAAAATTATAGACAACTGATAGACAGCCTGGCCGAGAATGTTCTTCATCATTGTCCTGGAGATGAGCGGCTTCGTGCGACCGTACGGTTTACGAAGGAGAAGGTCAGGCGTAGGCATTTCGGTGGCCAATGCGAGGGACGCTAACGTGTCCATGATTAAGTTCACCCACAACATCTGCACCGCTTTAAGGGGGGAATCTTGCACAGCACATGCCCCGATAAAAGCAACTATAACAGCGACGATATTGACGGTCAATTGAAACTGCAAGAACTTCGCTATACTATCGTAGACGTTTCTACCCCACATAACTGCCTTAACGATCGACGAGAAATTATCGTCCGTTAGAATGATATCGGAAGCTTCCTTGGCGACGTCGGTGCCGGCGATGCCCATGGCAAAGCCGACGTCCGCCTTTTTCAAGGCCGGGCCGTCGTTCGTTCCGTCACCGGTTACAGCAACGACCTCGCGGCTCACGCTCGCCTTGCTATCGATTATGCCCTTCACGAGCGTGTATTTGTCTGTAGGCGACGATCTAGCCAACACCCTCAACTTGGGCCACACTTTATCCAAAAGGTGTTGCTGTATCTCGCCGTTGGCGTCCCGGATCCTCCTGTTGAACTCCTTCCCCTCCAGGATCAGGAAGTCCTCGTTCGGCTTCAGTATACCGCATTTCAGGGCGATGGAGCGCGCGGTATTTATATTGTCTCCGGTCACCATTCGCACAGTGATGCCTGCCTTCTGACACTTTCGAATCGCGTCCGGCACCTCCGGCCGCACCGGGTCCTCGATACCGACGATGCACAAACACGTGAGATTGTTCACGATGTTCTCCTCGTCGTCCCAGTTCGGCTCGTTGTCCATGTGAACCTGATTGATCTCTGCCTTGCCGGGGACGAAGTCGCGATACGCGACGCAGATCGTACGGAGACCGTCGCACGCCATCGGCTCGATCACGTTCTTTACCAGACGCTCCTGCATCTCTCTGGTAAATTTCTCCAAATGACCTTCACGACCATATATAAAGGCACATCTGAAACAATTCAATTACGGTCCAAGATTACAGGAGAGGAAACTACAGTGTTACAATTTATTTTATTTCATTTAATTTTCAGTAATTTGAGAGTTGGTGTTGTACTATAAATTACTATAAATTGTGTAGTTCAAATTTGGTTACAATTAAATGTGAATCGTGTAATTTATATTATTATAATTATATAAATTACCACATATTACACTAATGTAATTTATGTGATAATTCACAGTATCGTTACACTGTAAATTATGTAATTTATATTATTATAGCATAAAAACTGCTACATATTACTGTACTAATTTAATTTATAGTATTTCGATTTAACATAGTGTAATTCTTGTCATGTAACACAATACTTTTGGTTCTCTTATTTCAGTGTCTACCTAATGGTTAAAAGGCCCTTGGGTAATTTACATTATAATAAATTACTATAAATTGTACTAATTTAATTTATAGTAAATTTATAGTAAATTACTATAAATTGTACTAATTTAATTTATAGTGTTATAGTATTATATTTAATTTGATTTAACATAGGGTAATTCTTGTAACACAGAACAATGCTTTAGATTCTCTTATTTCAGTGTCTACCTAATGGTTAAAAGGCCCTTGGGTAATTATAATAAGGTAAATTACTATAAATTGTACTAGTTTAATTTATAATGTTATAGTATTACTTAATTTGATTTAACATAGGGTAATTCTTGTAACACAGAACAATGCTTTTGGTTCTCTTATTTCAATGTCTACTTAAAGACTCTTGGGTAATTTACATTGTAACAATGTAAATTACTATAAATTGTACTAATTTAATTTATAGTGTTGTAGTATTACACTTAATTTGATTTAACATAGGATAATTCTTGTAACACAGAACAATGCTTTTGGTTCTCTTGTTTGCGTGTTTATCTGCTCCGCAAGTAACATAGTTAAAAAAAAGAGAGAGAGAGAGAGAAAAACGACCAATTTGAGAAAAAATTGACAACGTACTTCTTCATGATGATCTCGGAAGCGCCCTTGGTGAAGAGCCTGAATCCACCGCCTTTCCTCGGGATAACAGTGGACATGCTCTTCCTAACGCTATTGAACGTGTACACTCGCGTGAAGGTTTCCTCCGGTTGATCGTCTCGCACCGTCTGATAGTTCATGCCCAGGGCAACTACGAATCCAAGTAAGGCACATTCGGTTTTATTGCCGACCTGAAGCGGCAATTCTGTGGGATCCTGCGCGGGCATTATTCTGGATGTGTACGCCGAATTAACAGATATAGCTTGAACTATTAAGTTTCCAATGTGCGACGGGATCTCCGAGAACTCCGGCACCTTCTTGCTCATTTTCTCGCATATGTACGACTGCACGACGGTCATCCGGTTGGTTGTCAGGGTGCCAGTCTTGTCCGAACAGATCGCTGTGGCGTTACCCATCGTTTCGCATGCATCCAAATGGCGCACCAGGTTGTTGTCTTTCATCATTTTCTGCGTGCAAATGGAATCATACAAAATTGATATTTCATCCGTGTCAATTGACCAAATTCAAACCGGAAAGGGAGCCAACAAACATTTATTATTTTAAGCAGTTTAAAGCACTCGTGAAATACAGTAGAAAAAAAAAAAAAAGAAAAGAAAAAGAGGTCCATGGAGTAATTACCTTAACGGAATAAGCGAGGGAGAGGGTGACAGCTAGAGGAAGACCTTCGGGAACGGCGACTACGAGTACCGTTACACCAATGATCAAATGCCGCACCAGATCACCAGCGTACGTGTTCTTCCAAGGTTTTCCCTGTATGACAAACGTGGTAACGCAGAACTGAATGACTAGAATGACAACGGTAAGCACTGCTATGGTCGAGCCGGCGTAACCGATTTGTATGGCGAGTTTAGTTAGCTTGGCTTGTAAAACGCTCTTCTCCTTCTTCCCTTCTGCACCGCCCGCCTGGCTGGGCGGGTGATGATTCTCCCCGGCCTCGTGCTTGCCTCCGCTCACATGGCTATTTCCAGTTATTTCTACAGCTTCGTCCCCTTCGGTAGGTAACACACAGATTTTAATGTTTAAAGTTCGTCCTTAATCCATGTATATATATATATATAAAACAACAACGCGAAACTCGATCCCTTTCTTCTTCTTTTGTTTCTTTGTCAATTAATTCTGATACTTTTTTCTAAAGAAGTTACCGATACTTTTGTTTAATCTTTGTATCACTGAATTTCGAAATGAACTTTAAGAAGAAACGGTGTTCGAGTTCCCTTGTTAATACATTTACAACTAATACTGCTTTTACAACGTCGTTTCAACTAATATCATGACACTGGTGACTAATGTTAGTAATCAGTATCTATCGAAGAAAAAAAAGAAGAAATGTAGACAGTAGCAATAAGGCGGCAGAGGGTAGAAAATATAATCAAGAGTTGTGATCGAAAGGCATAACAGTTATACGTTAAGAAACACAGATGTATAAAAAATAATCATAAGTAGAGGGAGGGAGGGAGAGAAATAGAGAGAGAGAATGAGAAAGAGAGAGAGCATTATTGGAGTAAAATGCAGAAATAATTAGAGAAGCTAATACAAAACTTCAGTAGCAGCTAGAGTTCTTCTTCAAATATGCATAAAACCACTGCTATCGAAAGCATTCGCAGAATCAGATGTAACAAGTGGTACAGAGAAGCACGGATGAGACAGGATTTTACTCTTTCACACTTTCTTCGCAAATCTTCTCCGTTTACTTTGTACGAGAACAAATGGACCAAGAAGATAAGGCAGGAATGATAGAAGTGAAAGAAAAAAAAAAAGAGTAGATTGACTTGACAACAGAAGACTGTCTTCATGTTATAGAGACCGTATATGCATGTATAACAATAATATATAACATAGAGTGTGCAAGTGAACGAAACAGACAGAGTGAAGGAGACAAAGAAATAAGAATTCAAAATCAAAAGTGTTTTTACCCCTATTTCTCTGCAGGTAGAACTTTTAGTAGTATCTTTGTGAATAAAAATAAAAAGAAATTAAAAAAAAAAAAATAAGAGAATCAAAATTACTTTTTATAAATAAAGAAATACGCGCGCGTGCTTATTTAATATAATATGTCAAACATCAAAATGATGAAACAGTAATGATTTATGATAATACTTTATTCACCTGTTAATGACTTCTTCTTCCGCTGCTTCTTAGCCTCTAGATAAAAAAACGCATGCAAAACAAAATCGATTAGCAGTCTATCTAAAAATGTAATATGCCAGTCGTAAGTTACGCCATATTTTTGTAATATTCTCTTTCGTTCTTAATCTTTCAATTTCTATCATGTATTTCTTTCTTTTTTTTTTTTTCCCTGTTCTCGTATTTCCAGCGTGATATACCGATTAAATGATACTAAACGAACAAGCCCGTACAAGGGCTGTGTTTCTCTCATCAATGCTACCTGATTTTCGTTACTGCCGTACTTGTCGTTTTCTTTTTTTCTTACTTTGTTAATTGACCATGTCTGAACAAAGTATTCAGGAGACAGTGCAAAAAAAATATGTTACACGACACTCAAATGGGCCTTCCAGGTTGTGCAACATACACAACACACAACAGCGTAAATCACAAGGAAGCATACTGGATTTATGTCTATTTAATCCTTTGCAAATAGCGTTAAGGTCGATTCTTACTATTTTGTTTTACAATACTTGAAATAATTAATAGAAGCTGATGCGAAAGCAATAATCTGATTCTTTGTTCAAGATTTGAAATTCCACAGAGAATCAATTCATACGCTACGTTACTCGCTCTATAAATGTTTCTTTTACAAGGTGAATACATTTGTTTGTAGCAAGAATTGATCTAAACACAATATGGTAACACTAAAGATACATGTTTCTAACTCATTCGATGGAGGATTTTTTGTACATAAACACATAAGACAGAGATACGAACATTTATAATCAGATGCAGGCTAATATAAATATTTCAAAAAAGGCGCATGATGTGAATAGCTAATGATAATAAGAGCTGCAATTAACGTGCGATAATAATAGAATGGTTGTTTCATCTGAAGTTTAACTCTAAAAATTGCAAGATCTTTTACTATGTGTTCCAATCATTCACTTTCTAGTTGATTCTTCGAGGGACTATTTTCTTAATGTTGAATGAGATTATAAACATTTAGATACTCTCGATACAGAGCATATCTTTAAAAAAAAAAAAAAAAAAAAAAAAGGAGAAAAAAAATTAATATACTGTTCAAAGAATCGTTTAAAGGGAAATGCATGCTAAGGGAAACAAAAGTGTCACAAATAACTCAAGAACTGAATTCACAATGAAATATCATCAATTCAAAATAAACACCATGCGTCAACTGCTGGTTCTCTACGTTTCTTTTACGTATTTTGTGCCATGCGTTTCGTATAATGCTCGGTAACTGTCTTAAAACAATTAGTAGTTAAACTTCTTCGTAATTTGTTTACGTGAGAACTTCTAGCATCTTTTTATAGGAGAAAAGTAGCGAATTTCAATTCGTTTTCCAAAGTAACTAGAGTGAGAGGACTTGACAAGTTTTATCATTTTGAAAACAAAATTATTCCTAATGCTCTCTGTGTTTAATGTGCGAAAGTAATTGTCTTAAATTCATATCATTTCTCTGGAATATTCTGTTCTCAAAACGATAATCTCTGAACACTAAAAAAACTACTTTATGTCATCCTAAAATGTTCAAAGAAACTAATCCCGGATACCTTGCATCGATTGTTCCCCACTGAGATCAAGGTTTACATACCTTTCTTCATCTTCTTGATTTCTTGTTCTTGCTGATCAACAGCAGCACCCAACAAAGTAAAGATAATACCAGCCTGTGAGTTAACGCCCACAGCAGTAACTAACATTTTCCCAGAACCCTCCATCACATGTGTACCTTTAAAAAGGGACAGAGGTCATTAGGACTGCGATCTCGGCGCAGGAAGCAAAATGAATTATCGGTGTTCGATCTGTGAAACAGAACCCTCACCTGAGAGTACCATGGGATCGAACGATTCTCCTTTTTTAACATGGTCTGACTCTCCGGTTAAACTGGACTCATCCACTTTGAGATCGTTGCTTTGTATAAGGATACCATCTGCTGGCAGCAGGTCTCCATATTTTATCTGAATTGTAGATTACCCAATTTAGGGAAGACCTTTACATTTTTTTTTTTTTTTTCGACGAAAGTGATACTCGCACTCCGAAACTTGTTGACAAATTCTTAGACACGGCGAGGTGTTCAAGAAGTTGCCAAATTTAAATACAAATGTTTCTGGATTACGTTCGATCTTAGTAACTGATTCAAATATGGGTTTCTCGTGTTAACCAGAGAATCGTAAATCGTGTTTTGACTGCGTTTGAAACATATTCTTTCTTTTTTTTTTTTACAAGTGGAATGCATAGTCTGCTGCACATACCTGACATATATCACCAACCACAATGTCAGACACAGAGATCTGTTTGACCTCCCCTTGTCGAATGACAGAGAATTTATGTTCCCCTTCTATCCGACTTTGGAGGCCCCTAAACTGTTTCTCCTTAGAGTAATCATTGGAAGCTGTTACTATTACCACCAAGATCACAGAAATAAATATAGCAGCTCCTTCTATCCAACCATATTTTGCTTCATCTTCATCTACCAAAGCTGCAAAAGTTCATTAAAGGAAAAAAAGGACAGTTTTTTAAAGTCTTACAAAATACACAACAACAGTACTGAAATTTATACTCACGTTTCTCCTCATCATCTGCTGGGTGATAAAAGCTAAGACCTAACGAAACCAATGCAGCTACTTCCAAGATGATTAACGTAACATCTTGAAGAGCTTCCCACACTAATTGTAGAAACGTTTTTGGTGGTTTTGGAGGTATTAGATTGGAACCAAAGGTATCTCGTCTATGTTGGATATCAGCTGCTGATCCACTGAGACCTGAGCAACAAAAATGGTTTTTTTCTCTTGTGAATATTTTATTCAATGACACAGATTTTGAACCATCGAAAAGAACAAGAGAAACGCATTTTATTTTACCTTCACTGGGTGAAGTATATAATTTTTTACAAATCTCCTGCACACCACCATAACTATTGATTTTATTGACACCTTCACGTCCTCGGAGCTCCATGAGCTCACGAAGTTGCTTAAGAGTGACACCATATTGGGTCGGTCGGCCATCTATTGTTGCCATTTTGCTTCGTTCACCGACGTTGGCCTAAGCCAACTCTACTGTACCTCTTCACGCTAGCAGCTCGTATTATTCTCTGGTGTCACTGACACCACTGGCCTCCAGGAAATTGGAGGGCCAACAGCTGCAACATACAAGCGAATCATTCTTAAATTCTGTTTCATTCAGGAAACCTCCCTTATGCCCAAAGATTTATGCCATTGCCAGATTGAGATGTGTACGGTTTTCATTACTCAGCAAGCTATTAGCATATGATAATGGAATATGAGTCAGAGTTATTTAAACAGATGTGTCATTATGTCATAATTACACAGGGATACGTTTATGGCTCTCAGGGAAATGGTCAACAGTACTACAGTACACGGTAATCTACAGTGAAAAGTTACAAAGTTGTATCTTAACCTTCTCATGGTCAATGAAAATTTCTATTCTAGAATCAGTCAAATCAGCAAACACAGTTGATTTCATGAAACGTCAGTTTAACAAAATATGAAGCAGAGGAATCTAAAGAAAAAAAAAAAAAAAAAAAAAAAAAAAAAAAAAAAAAAAAAACGCACGTTCGAGGGAATACATTTTGTACTAGAAATTCGCAAAAATTTACGCCGCACCGCCGAGGAGAGAACGGAGGTTGGAAGTCACACCGGGAGAGACACGCACAAAACGAGAGAACTATCGACTCGCAGGTGCGTGTCGAAAAAAAAAAAAAAAGAAAAATGATCGTCGAAGGGAAGGTTGCCAGACGGGAGGTTGCGACGTTATCGACGAGAAGCGGAAGCCGAGTTGGCCCCCCTCGAGTCGGCTGTCATCGTCGAGCGGCGACATCATGGTTTTTGAGGTTATGTACCTTGGCGAGTGAGTCATTTACCGAGAGACGGCAGTAAAAGTGGCAGACACTCTCTTCCGAAATGATGTCATAATGAAGGAACGGCCTCGTAAACCGGGGCCCTCGCAATTGAACGAGCATCGACGATGCATACGGCACACCGTCTAAAAATAACACCGACCGCAGAACAGAGACGGAGCGACGACAAGAGAGAGAAAGAGACACACAGCCCCACACACACACACACCACACACATACACACACACACACACATATATATAATACACAAGTGCACACACAGGTACGCACAGAGGGAGGAACAGAACCTGAGCAGAGGGGTAAGAGAACAGCCAGAGAGATCCCCGTTTACCTTCCTGATGACAGTTTAACGTGTTGACGCCGAGAACGGGTCGCGAACTGGCACGCGAACCGGCCAACCCCTCGACTAGTTACCGCCGCGGAGGAGCTTCATTGTAATTCCCCCGTTTTGGGTCGCGGAACGCGTGAGAAGGAAAGGAAAAAAAAAAAAGAAAGGTCTCCTTCGGATCCGCAGCACGGACACGCACGGCACCGCTGGCTCTCACGGCGAAACCTGCTCTCTCTCTCTCACGGCCGCGGAAAGGCGTGTTAAGTGAAACAAGCCATTAGCAAAAGTAGTAATCGATTCGTGTTGCCCTCTGGCTGCTCGCACGCGTACTGCGCCAGGTTTCCACTATTTTCCTTTGGTTCTACTTGCGCCCCCCTCCATCCCCCGACGACCGTGTGTTGTGCCTAGGGTGTTTCAGAGAAAGAAAAATCGACGTCCGGTTGCGAACTTCCGTTGGCCAAAGAGTAATGGCGTTTTTTTTTTTTTTTTTTTTTTTACTGATAGATGGACAGATACATGTAAGTAGCTAACTTAACGTTTCGGCTGTAACTACTGACCGAGGTTGTAGAAACTTGTTTTTAGAAAGAAGGAAGAAACGATTTTTGTTTCTTCGTTTCGAAAGGGACATTTTCATTATACTTCGCTATGTAACCATCTCCGAAAAGGGAAGAAAGACTACTGTGAAAATATTTTCGAACGTCTGACGGTGAAGAAGCAGAATTAAATAGTTTGCTCAAATTTCACTTTCGTCGAGAAACAAAAGAACTTTGGGAGTTGACTGAAAGATGGCGAAAGGTAATCGAACGTGAGACGACCACGATGTACTAATTTAACAAAAATTTTCTCGCGAATTTATTCGCAGGCACAAAGAGAGAAAAAAAAAAGAACGTGTCACTTTTTGGCCAACCCAGTATAAAAATTCATAGTAAATTAAACTATAAAGATTCATTTATCCTGAAACTTGTAATTCTTTTTTTTTTTTTTGTTAAATTCACAGGATCTCGAGCTGTTGATCACTGAAATTTTTGACGCCGACAACCGGTGAACCACCAACGGTGATCGTGATCGTGATCGTACAACGTCTAGATCTATTCTACTCTACGAGATGATCGATGATCCCCAATTGGCAATTTCAAAAAGAGAGACATTTCCTGGAGACTAATTTTTTTCTCCTTTTTTTTTTTTTTTTTTAATCGTGCTCATAAAAATTTACGTTTGCACGAACATCCACGATCTACTTATCACTGTATGTATCTTTTACATTTATTCGAATACTGTGATTGATGATAGAGGTAATATTTAACGCTAATTGCTGTGAATAAAAAGTGGTTAAATACTCATGAACTATGTAAGAAACACGTATTTTTATTTTCTCGTAACAGATTAGAAAAAAGAGGCAATCGAATTATTTGCTATTAGAAAAGTTCGAATCCAATTTGTAAAATAAAAAATATACCTATGATCGTAGAGGTATAATAATTCAAAAACGAGTGGCAACGTTCTTTGATATGCCCGTGAGTGTTTCCTTTCTGAGGAAATCGATTTTGAAAATGTATCAATGTATGTGTGTATTTTACCCCGATATTAATAAACCAAAATCGATAAACCGATGGATACCGATATCTTACATTCGACGCAGGAAAAAAAATACTACGCTTTTCAGAATTGTCTCGAATAAAAAAAAATTTCATCCGAATGAATTTGATGTCGCGATTCCGTACATTAAAACATGACAGAATTTCTAAAACTGTGCACGAAGACACGCTTTAATGAAAAATTTCTGATGATTGACAGACTGTCAATTACCATTTCATTATACATCTAAAAGCGTCTCCAATTAAGAGACATTTTTGTAAACGTGCTCTAGAAACGTCACGTCTGACAAATGCAGGAAAATTCTATTTCCCTATAGACTCTTATCACTTTTGAAATTATTCAATTAATAATTACTTGGAATTAGCTAAAATATCCACGAATGTTCCCTGCAATTTCATAGAAACCAGAAATTCATCGAACATGATTTGCACACCTTCGCTCGGAAGAACAATACGCGTGGCTCCGATAAATCACGAAATATTTTAGTATTTGTCAATGATTTATTCGAGCCAGGCGATCGTAAAATCGTCAGTTCGCGCATAAGAATTATTCGCTCGTTGGAGTGCCGCTACAGACGAGACAAAATATAAAATCGCGCCGTATATTTCGTTTTTATCTAAAAAAAAAAAAAAAAAAAAAAACATTATACCATTGGGTGGAAGGAAGGACGTTTAGCCTCTCTTCGAATGAAACGCACATTCCATAACAAAATGTGGATAATAACTGAGATTTAGTGACACTATTGTGAAGAAATACAGTGAGACATGCCACGATAAACGAACAAAATCAGAAAAACAATACAACGAACGCGAATGTTAAAGAAAAATCATTAAATGATGATTTGAATTTCGTTCACTCACATTTATTAATAGTAAAGGGTATAATAAATCGTAAAAAACATTTACTTATAAAATTAGTTATTAATTTATTAATATATCAAATGTGTATTTCTTTAGCAGTGACAAGATAAGGAACAACGATGTAAAATTTATTTCAATGCTTAAATTTATCGTTTCGTGATTCTTAGTGAAGAAATAAATTTTTATCACTTGTTTGTATAGTACATAGTATATTCTCTTCAGTGTGGATCTAGATCTAGATTAAATGTTTCAATGTGTGCATTATAATATCCTCCTTTTTTCAATATTTGGAATATTCGATTACAAGTTGAACAAATATTTTAATCCTAAAATTTAATTTTAAAAGAAATTTTGAAACTACTGGTTAAATAGAGTGCAATCGTTTTGGATACTTCGTGCGGGACGTGTCCACAGGAAAGATGTAATTTCCTATGCAATTTCCTGCATACATAACGTTGATCATCACTATATTACAAAAAAGATCTCATTTTTCTCCTTTTAAATTACTTTCTCTTAGTATATATGAATGGTAGTCGAAAATAAATAAATAAATTTCCATACAATCTTTTGTTGCCTTCAATTGATCAAACAATTGTTTGATCAATATCATGTATAATTTATGATAGAAACTTGCGAAATTTAATTAGATTAGTTACTGAATAACGCCTCATAGTGACTGAAGATCAATTTTAACAAATTGCAGCGATATTAATATTAAATGTATAACATTATAATAACAATATTATTACATTATTATATTAACAATAATATTCCAATTAATATTATAATACGTTCTACAATCTTAGTGCAACTTTTCTTCTTTATCATCCAATCAAATAAAAATTCAATTAATTACGCTACGTGGATAGAAAAAGTACATCACGTTTATTATATATATATATATATATTTACCAAACAACAGAGTTTCTATTATCGTCAAACGCAGCGATCGCAGCTCGGCAAGTGTCAACTATTAACGCAGTTAGCAAACGTCATCGCGATTATCAATATTCGGTTTTCCCCTATTTAGCAGCGTTTGTATAGAATCAGTTTAATGGAATGGCTCTAAATGCATTTAAATCTACGTTTGACTAATGCCAGTTTCGAACTACGTGCATACACACACGTATGTAGTAGCGAGGGCCGCGTAATCCATACGCATCCACCACGAGTAATCTGCGAATTTCCATTACGAGTATTCAATTTTAGTTATAAATTTCCGCAAAGCGCGATATATAGAGCGCTGCCAGAAATGACCGATCGCCAATTTAGTTAAACACGTATAATTGAGAAGACGGGAGGAGCGATAACTGTAAATTATAGATTACTTTATCAGTCGGTTCTGCCATCGCGTTCGTTGCACGTACGTGTGTACGTATTCGCGTCTGACGAAGTTACACGAACATTTGCTCGATAGAATTTTTCTAGACACGTATTACTACGTTTCTTACAGGGGACATTTTTGAAATTTCATCAACAATGAGGTGAGAAACTTTTGCCAATATTATAACGTACACTGGTGCTGTTTGAAATCAGTCAGAAATTGATGCGATATTTATTGCAAAGTTGTATTTAGTAAAAAATTAATATACACGTAGATTCATTTCAAGCTAACAACTGTGTTTTACTATAGTTGTCAGTTTCAAAATATACAAATATGACATATTTTGAAATAGTTATATAATATTATAATAATTAATAAAATATTTTATTAACAGTGCAGCGACGTCATATTGACAAAATTCGAAATCAATCTGAGACTGTATGTACATAAAAGTTACAAGACTTTCGACTACACAAGCATGTGTATGTAATAAAAGATTAGTGTACAGCATGTATCACTATATTAGATGTTATTATACATTTGTGTTAAGTTCTATTATAGATCCTATTAAATGTTATTAAATTATACTTGCATTAAATGCACAATATATATTGAAGTACACATGTTTGTACCAAACATCTTGTAACTTATATACCATTTTTATACTTACTATACATACATTATACTATACATTTTTATACTTACTTCGACATTGATCGACACAACCATCACGATCGTATCTTAACACAGTGTCGATATTTAAAATATCAAATTATTTTACAAAAATTCCAATAAACGTTCGAATAATTGTGCACCATGAAAACGCGTTAAAAACCGTGAAATCAAGCTTTCCTAATATTCTCATCTCGCGATCGTGTATAGTACGTATGTAGATCGACGCGTTGACATTTCGAGCGCCTTTAATCGATTTTAATCCATGCATTGTAATAAGATCTCAATAAATCACACAAGGTTCCTTCAGACAACAGAGTTGTTTGATCAATCAATGATACGCTTGTCCTCTCCTGCCGCCTGCAATGGCGCATTCATACGTCGAAACGATTTAATTAAGTAGTTCAGTAATGTCAGCACGTTAGTTAATGCCTAGTTCGAACTCCGTTGGCAGTCAATGTACGACACGTATGCACAATACCATCCGATACAAATTGCCACTGTGATACTACTAAATTTTGTTTGCACGTTTCCTGAAATGCATTTATCGATCGGTAACAATTCTACGTCCCGAAATTGATATAAATAATAGCTCGATTTGCGAGGTAACGATTCGAAATTTTTACAAACCCATTCTGCCTATTTTAAATTTCCTGTTACAATATTATCTGCAGCTGTTTCTTGCCTATTCCGAATTTTTGGAAACTCCGCTTGGAAAATTTTAAAACTTTTATCCAACTTTTGCTTGACGCGATATACAAGTCAATGAATTGATATGATGGTTTGTAAATAATGATGAATTTTTAATTCTTATCCATTATCCATTTATACCCATCTTTCTATCTATTCTGAATTTTGGGGAACCCTATTGCAAATTATAAATTTGTACTTATTTCGAACTTTTACGAATCTATTTTAAATTTTGAAAATATAAAAATATTGAGCAGAATATAAAATATTGTTAGATTAAATTTATCTATTTTTCAATAACGAACAGGATGCAACGTGGAAATTACATTCTATAGAAAAATTAAGCTATATTTAATTAAAGTATTTATTACAATACTTGGTAGACAGAAGAATTTTCTATTTGTGTTGCATTTACTGAATTATACATATAAAAGCACGAATAAATATAAAACACGATATAAGTGAAATAATAGGCTTTTGACAAAATAATCAACTAGAAGAGAAAGATTGAAGAATTGTAAGATATTAGTGATAATTTATAAAATTACAAAGATCTCGTCAAACAGAATGTTCCTCAACTCATTAATATTAATTATCAGTATAAATTACTAGCAACTTATAAATCTCTGTAAAATTACTCACTGAACATTATTTCTTTCAGTATCAAATTGTTAAGAGAATATTTACAAAATTAAAGG